GTCCGTCCGTCCGTCCGTCCGTCCGTCCGTCCGTCCGTCCGTCCGTCAGCTAGTTCAGTCTGCACTGAGGGAACGCTGCAGGTAATGATGTCCTGAGAGCGCATGCTGTAGCTGCACTGACGACGTGCCATGTGGGAGGAGATATCAGAAGGCAGCAGGCCAAGGAGGGATTTATAGATGAAGATGAACCAGTGGGAGAGCCTACGTGTAGATAACGATGACTAACTGACCAAGGAGTACAGGGTGCAGTGGTGGGTACGGTAGTTACAACCAGTTATGAAACAACGTGCCATGGTAGGCAGCATCCAACATCTGCAAGCAGCTGGCAAGAACATTCATGTTAATAATGTCACCATAGTCAGTGGTCGGTAGGAAGGTAGCAGCTACAAGGTGTTTTGTGGCATTCAGAGTTAAACAAGATCTATTTCTGTAAAATAAACCGTTTTCATTTCACAAAGTTTGTTTTCTCAGTCATCCAGGTATATAACAACAAAAAATGTTGAATCATGTCATCTGGACTTCGTTTTTTTGTTAAAAAGAAACGTTTCGCCCCTCATACATTTTTTGTTGTTATATACCTGGATGACTGAGAAAACAAACTTTGTGTTTTTGAAACCATTAGTGAAAAGGCCAGACTTCAGGGGTATCTGAGGCAGGCTTGAAACACAAGAGTCAGGGTGGCTTCTGGGTAATACCAAATGGTTAGGCCTCAGACTGACGAAGCCTCTTGGATGAGGGGCGAAACGTTTCTTTTTAACAAAAAAACGAAGTCCAGATGACATGATTCAACATTTTTTGTCGTTTTCATTTCAGTTTCTTTATCAAGTTTTCAATATGTGTTTTTAAAAGAGAGATGTGCATCGACCAAAGTTTCCAAGTATTTGTAAGAATCTACAAACTCAATAGGAACAGCATGCATGGATGAGAGAGGAGGACGAGTTGCTGTCACAGACTTTCTGTTGGAAAACAACATCCCTTTGGTTTTGTCAGCGTTTAGCACCAGTTTGAGATGGAACAAGTCTGACTGAATGATGTCAGATGCAGACTGTAGAAGCTGGAAAACCTTGGCAGCCGTGTTAGCTCGGCAATAAACAACAGTGTCGTCGGCATAGAGATGCAGGATGCGTCAGGAATATTTTGACCTAAGTTATTTATATAATTGTAAAAAGAGTGGGACCTAAAACTGAGCCTTGCGGCACACCATTGACAGTTAAACAGCTAGAAGAAGTACCATTATGTTGAACACATTGCCTCCGACCTGAGAGATAGTTTGAGAAGCAGCCAACAGTGTGATTGGAGAATATCTGAGAGCTTGTGGCAGAAGATGTGATGATCTACAGGATCAACAGGTCTAAGTGCAGCTCAGTAATCCTTAGCGTCCAAAGCTTAAACAACATCATTAAAAACCTTTAGTCATTGTGCTGTGTTGTTTCCTGAAGCCAGATTGGAGGGAAGATTGAATGTTAAGAGTCCAAATACTTCTTGACTTGAGTTTTTATCAGTTTTGTTCTTAAATGTTTTAATTTTCTTTTTGTCTTGAAACGCTGCCAGATCTTTGCATCGATCAACGTCAATGAGATGTTTTCTCGTGAAGACAGCGTCAGTTTCTCGAGGACTCGCTCAGATCGGTGGTTTGGCTCGGGACTGAGTTTTTGTGGCGTTACGTGAGAAAAACAAGTTCTGGTTGAATAGAATCAGGTTTTATTGTTGGTCAGACCTGATCGCTGCTCTGATGAGCTGAAAAACATTACGAGGAGGATTCCTGTAGGAGTTGTCTTTCAGCCCTCTCTTTGTTCTGATTTCACGAGGACTCGTAGATAAGATAAGGAGTTGCTCAGCGTCTGTCTGCTTTAAGAACAGCTTTGAAGAAACGCAAACAGGGTCCACATATCAGAGCTTAAATGAGTGCAGGTGTGCCGACGAAGGATGAGTCACCGAGAGGCCTTTTCTGAGGAATTATCAACGAAACGTTGAATCAGAGTAAAACTCACGAGTTCTGTAGAAGGAAAGGGTCAGAATGGAGCCACGGCAAGAAAAGAAAAACATTTTGATTAACGTTAAAGTGGAAAAGCTGAGTTTCATCTGCAGATTCATTCATTCAAGATTTATTTCTATCCAGGTTAGTCTCATTGAGCCTCGAGGACTCATTTACAAGAGAGACCTGATTTTAACAGAGAGCACAGAGGAGGAACAGACAATCAAAAAAATATATCAATGAAAAGTAAAGAAATTATTTAAAAACAAAAACAGCTAGATTATAAAGCGACGTAACATAAAACAGGAACATGAATAATAAATGATAATAAAATAATAAATCTTCTTCATACACCAAAGTTATTCATGGAGTTCCTCAGGGCTCAGTGCTTGGATCAATACTCT